AACGCCTCACCCCACCCAAGATCCGCCACGAAAGCCGCCACCCACCTGGAAGACGTTGCTCTTGTGGCCGCTCTCAAACTCCAGCACCGGCTGCCTCCGCACCCAGTCCCACACCACCACTTTGAGGTCGTCGCTGCCACTCGCCAGCCAGGCCCCGCGCTGGTTAAAGTGCAAGGTGTTGACGCACCCACTGTGGCCTTCCAGGCTGTACTGCAGGCAGAAGCGCTGCACGAAGACCCGGGAACCGCAGGCGTCGTAGATGAAGCGGGCGCCGGAGCCGAGCTCCCTCTCCCGCAGAGCCTGGACAGCTCGCCAGCGTGGCAGGGGCAGCGCCAGCGTCTCCGAGGCCACCCAGTCCTCCAGGGCCCGCTCGTCGTCAGAGGAGTCCCTGTCCTGGTTGGGGCGCTTGCGCTGCGGCCGCCAGCAGAAGCGCTGGGCCTCCATTTCCACCTCCTCCTCCTGCTGCTGCTCTTCCTCCTCCTCCTCCGCCGCCGCCTCCTCCTCCTCCTCCTCGGAGTGGGAGCGGTCGTAGGTCCGATTCATCTCGTTGATGGAGTAGTGGCCTGTGTCCTCCATGCTGTCCGAGTCCTTCTCCTCGGCAGAGCTTCCTGTGTAAGTCTGGCTGGGCCCCACCTCCTCTCCCATGAGGCTGAGGCTCAGGTCGGAAGCTTCCACCTCCACCCCGGAAGACGTCTCAGGCCCCTCCGTGGTTACAGACATCTCTTCCGGGCTGCTGGACAAGCTTCCTGCACAGCGGAAGCCACATCCGGGTTAGAACACCGAGGAGCCTGGCTGGCCTTCCCTCTATCCTTGTTTGTGGGGGCCTCTCCCCAGCTGCTTCTGTGTCCAAACGCCCACCGCTGCAGAGAAAGAGCTGCGATCCTGCCAGCACTGGGAGCAGCTCCCCAGCATGGAGGTGGGCGGAAGCGGGCTTGTGTAGGAGGTGGGCTGGATTGAGCCCATCTGCCCCGGCATTGCCCACTCTATAATCCAGACACAGCTCTGGCTGTTAGGTGAGTTGGCACAGATCCCTGCACCGTCCCGCAACCTGCCTCAAAGCACTCAGAGAGAGCAGCAACAAACTTCAGAAATTCTTCTGCTCGCTTGCCCTCTCTTTGCTCTTACCGTTAGGCATATCGGTTTTCCCATCTGTGCCATTCCCTGTGTCTGACATCTTGCTTTTTTTCTGAATTCACCCTGGGGGGGGAGAAAGAGAGAGAGGAAACAAAGCAGTGGGTGAACTGACCACCTGAGGCACAAAGCATTCACCAAAGTGGAACCGTCTGGATCCCCACAGCTTTCTCCCCTCTTAGAAAGCAGAACAGGACACCCCTTGAGGACCTCTGAAAAGCTGAGGTTCAGAGAAGTCTCCCCCAGAGGAAGATCCAAGGAGGACGGGGAAGAAAGCTCAGGAGCGGAGAAATCCATCTTAGTGAAGAAGCTAAGCCTGCTTGGCATTTTGCTTTTGAACAGGGACGACGAACCCTTCCGAGGCTTTGGAATTTCCCTTTCGAGAGTGCTCCTCGGCCAATGGTGGTGGAAAGGCCCCAACTATGAAGGATTTCTCCAACCTAACCTGGGTAGCAAATTAGGGTCAATGTAAATCTGTGCTAAAGGATGCCGAAGAGCCGCACTGCCTGATGGACTGACAACTCACTGCGGTAGGAAGCCCAAAAGAAAGATCAAGACAACACGCAACGGAAGCTTCCACACTACGGGAGATAGGAGGAGACCGAAGGAAAACAGCTGGAATCACGCTGCCCATAAGAAACGTGGGGCAAGGCCCCTCAGAGACACAGAACACTCTTCAGGTTCCTCTCTCAGAAAATCGGGAAAGGGCAAATCCAAATGAATAACCAGAAAGGTTAATCCACCCCCCCCAACTAAGGATCCCTCACGGGTCTCCACAAGTCAATTTTGCCCCACCCCCACCCCTGGAGAGCTTCGCCCAACTCCACCCAGGCGAAGGAGGCAGCTGAGTGCACAGACACCTTGAGGAGCTGCAGCCCTCCACGCGCTCACACAAAGCGCCAGAGCACATGAGCCCTGCAGAATCTGGACCGCCAGCAGGCACGGCACCGGGGCCCTTCTGTTCGGAAAGCAGCTGCTCTTACGCCCTCTCCCAAGAAGGTCCCAGCAGAGGCAGCAGGGGGCACCCTCTTCAAGCCGAGGCCCTATATTCAATTCCCATCAGCTAGGCAGGAAGGTCCCAAAATGCCTCCGTGCCCCACCAGACCTTGATGAGCAAATCCTAACTGCAAAGAGGCTTTCCGGACTGGGATCTGCAGCATTAGATTCCAGAGTTTATTTTTCTGTTTGGAGCATGTTGTTGATCTGAGATATTTCACCCTACGTACAGCCAGATGGTTGCCAAGATGGCTTATAATTAACAAAATTAACAACAAACATCCCTTTAAAGACACCTACGCTTTTGAGCAACAGTCACCAAGTAAACAGGGGTCTCCAAATGCCAGGCGAGATCTAACGCCTTGGTGCTAATAACAGAGATGATGCGCGCACATACGTGGGGTGCAATTTTCACAACAACACTCTCTGTAGAAGAAACCCGACCAATCTCCAAAACAAAGGCAAAGGCAGAGCGCCAAGGACAAGGACTCTGGGACCAATCTTAACCTTCTGGGCAGTTTATGTGGATGCAGGAAGTGGTCTTGCTCGAGGCCCATTCAAGCTGAAGCCTTCTCTCTGGGAAGGCCCACAAGGAAGCTGCGGAGCCCAGCCTAGGAGCTGTTCCAGAAGGCCAGTCAGTGCCTCCTTGGATCATAGCCCACCTTCTACTTTGCTCCAGGAAGAATCCTTTAGGAGGCCTAGGGGTCGGATCGGCACTCTGAACTTGGTAAGACAAACTTGGGTAAGAAAAGCTGAGCTGTTTTCCTGCTTTCCCTCATCTTTCTAAGGTGAGAGCATAAAAAACAAAACCCACACTCAGTAATCCCCTGAGCAGATAAGGGTCAGAAGCTGGCTCGCCCGCAGCTTTATCCTAGAGCACAACGCAATCCTGAAGAAGGATGGAAAAAGCAGGCTAATAAAGAAGGAAATAAGCCAAGGAGGGAAGAGGAAGAATGCAGCTTTTCCCAGAAGGACTAGCGTCATCTGTGGCAGCTCAGCCAAGGCAACGAGATTTCTGGCTGTGCTGAGCTGGTCAGAAAAAGATAAGAAAATAAAAAACGAGGGAGGGAGGGAGGGAGGGCAAAACAAGATCACCAGCTTCTCACTGGTGAGACAGCGAGAGTGAAAGACGTGGGCAAGCAGAAGGAAAACTGAACCAAGCAGCTTTCCCAAGCGGGGGGTGAGGGGTGAGAAGTTCTGGCAAAAGAGGAAGGGCGTGAAGGCCGCTCTCTTTAAGTCTAGGGCCCCGGGACCCCGTGTCACGGCTGGGACGGAGGGGACTCCCAAACAAGCCCTGGCGAGACTTACACTCCCACCCCAGAGGCAGGTGACAGAGGCAAGACGTTCCCAGCCCCACAGGCCCCACAGCTACGCAAACTGACCAGCAGAGCCCAAGTGGCTGGATTACAAGACCGGGACTCGGCTGCCCTTCCGCCCTCTTCGCACTCGCTCTGCAACCACATCTCCTGGGGGAAGACCCAGACCGCCGGAAGAGACCCCTAACCTATACCTGGGGGGGCTTCCCTCCAATAAGCTCCGTCAAGACTCGGAAACTCACCCGGAGGCGGGACGCCGCGACTCACCTGTCCCGCCGCCTCTCTTCCGTCGGGGTTGACTTAGGGGTATCCGCGAACTGGCGCTGGGGTATTTGCTATCAGACTAAGCGGAGAGAAAAAAAGGCATCTGAGG